TCAAAAACCTTTCGAATTGGGTTGATTTATCTGATTCAAGAACTAGCGATAAAGTTCCCAAACTGGCTGGGGTAAGATACCGCAATTTTTAAATTTTTTGCTTTTGGTGGACGCATAAACAACCGGTCGTACTACGTTGATAATATAAACGCAATATATATTTGAATAAAATAAATATTTATGAACGTATCCAAAGATATCGAAAAGCTGTGAACAAAGACTACAATATATAGCTCTGAACCAGTGTAAACTGTGAACCTGTGAATTTTTTACTTTAATGATTATCAAAATATACATACTGTGAGCTGTGAGAACAGACAAAGTACTTTTTAAATATCTAGATATTGTAAATAAATATTATATGTTGAAGTTTATAAGGGTTTATAGTAACGAAATAACCAGTATTGTGTCCGTGTAGCATTCATTTCAGTTTGATAAATCGTGAGTTATTAGATTGAAACCGATATATCGAGAAATGTACGTAGCAGTTTGTACTTTTCTTAAAGTATTATTGTTTTTTTTTAACCTAAAATGTCATCTAAAAGTGATACATGGAATCACTTTGTAAAAAAAGGATCGAGTGGCGTATGCAAGTATTGTCATAACGAAGTCAAAAGATGCGGAAGTATAACAAATTTACGCAACCATTTATTACGTAGACATCCATGTATCATAAGTCTGTCTGAAAACATTGACTAGTAGTTTCTACGATTCACCAATTAAGGCAGGCAAAGGTCTGAAACCATACAGACTAGTCTGATGTAAATTTTAACTACATCAAACAAGGATGGCTACATATACATTCTCAACTAAGATGGAATGCCCCACACCACAGTCTGTAATTATACATAGTCCCTTTCTCCGGGACAAAAAGTATCCTGTGAATTGAATTGAAGTAACAAAATCTTAATGGTAGGGTAAGAAGTGTCCCCCCGAACGGGTTCCCGCCTTGTCGTGGCGGGGGGGCTTAGAAGCCGTGGCTTGGTCACCCACGGCGAAACAAAGAGGAACCCATATGGCTGGTCCGAGGTGGAGGGCCGGCCCGAAGTGGCCACTCCGAGTGGGCTTGGGAAGCCCACTTCGGATGTGTGTTGGTGGACTGCGGTGAGAGGTGTGTCCTCCCCACCTACCGCTGCAGCCGAGGTGGAGTCGCGGAGGAAGAGGAGTGTTGGTATGGCGATGCGCCACTCGCCCTATCCTCCGCGACTCAAACGGGGCCGCACCGTTGATGCGGTGGTGATGGGGCTGCGGGGGGAGAGGATTGTCGGTATTGCGAGGCGCCGCTCTCCCTATCCTCCGCAGCCGAATCTTGGTTGGCGGCGGAGCCATAGACCAGATCCGCCGCTGGGGTCGGGAAGGCTAGTACTTCTAAGTGCTCGTTTTTCCTGGCCCCATGGCCTTCGCGCATCGGACGCGGGGGCGTCTGTTGCGCAGATGTAATTGGAGGCCGTGGAGGAAGGCGTGCCATGTGTTCTGGTGCGCCTTACTTGGGAAGGAGAACGGGGAGGAATATTCCTCTCCCGATGAGGTGCTGCCATGGGGCGGCAGTCGCTGGTGCGGCCGCGGATGTGTGCGAAAGCGTTCCCGTAGCCCTGCCAATATGCGACGAAGGTGGAACACCATGGGGTTTTAGTCGGTGCGAGTCCGACATAACCCGTCCTTGCCCCCGCGAGGCGGGTATGCGTAGGCATTTCCCCATGTTAAAAAAAAAAAGGGTAAGAAGTGCGAACTTGAAGGTCATGGGTTCGAATCCAACATTCAACTATTGTCGTGAACCACTCCTAACACAAGCATTTTCAGCTTACCTGGAGTGGTAAAAGGTAATACCGGAAAGTATATAAAAGATAAGATAAATGTAATTAAAAACTTCAAGAAAAATCGCAAATTCTGGAAACAAGGTTTGAAAATGTCGCGATTAATCGAAAATCGATCTTTTAGTCCTCGATTTAATCGATAATCGTTTCTAGTATATTAGATTCGAATCGAACAGAGATCGATTTTTTTAAGAGTGAATCGACAAGCCTACTAATTAGCAAATCTAAGCTCAGTCGTTGCCAGTGGCTTAACAGTATATATGAGTACATTATTTTTCTTAGACATAATAATACTTTATGAGTTTGTACATTTTGCAGTAGATGGCGATATTTTAAAATTTTGCCACGCTAGTCCAGGAAAATATCGTTCCGCCTTACGTAGATTGCTATTAAGATTATTGTTATTATCTTAGTGTAATTTATTTACTTTATATTTATTAAAGTGAATTATCATGATTGCGTCGTTGCAAATTGTTTTCTCCGTTTATCTATGGAAAGATACAAAAGGAGAGATCTATGGTAATTTCGGCCTGTCAATGTTAAAAATGTCATATAATATGTCATTCCAACATTCCATTTCATTTTGGGGTTTGTGAATGTGCTCTGTTTGTGTTTATAAGCTTTTTTTCGATGACTGCTTGCTATGAAAACAGAACCTTTCAAAATACATTAAAAAAATTCACAACCTTAGCTGCTATGTTCACATAAATGCAGCTTCGTGAATCAGGCAAAAATAAAATGGGACGGAGATTTACAGAGTCCAAAAAATCATGCCATTGAGCTTAATACAAACGAAGCCCTATAACTTACAGGTGGCTTCAAAACATTTTTGTTTTCCCTTCATCTATGACGCTGAGCAGACTCATAGCATGGACGAATTTGAAACTAGGGCTGAATGAAAATCTCTAAGAACAATTAAAAAGAGAGTACAGAAAATGAAAGATCATGAAAAGCTATGCATGTTACTTTTTAATGAGATGTCCATTGCGCACACTTAGACTACAATTTAAGGAAAGATGAAATTTCAGGCTTTGTAGGGTAAACCAAGCTATAACTGGCCACTATCAATAACTAGCCACTTGATACTTTATCTATTTAAAATAAGAATAACACTTTATTTGTGCCACATATGAAGGTATGAAACACATGCCTTGTCATTCACCTTTCATAGTAAATCAACTTTTTTCGTTACGTATACTAGCGCCAAAGCAAACGGTCACTTACTGACAGTCGCTGTACGTGTCTCGACATGTAAGTTACTCAACTACGTAAATATTAGTGGCTATATTTTTAGAAAATTTAAATTATGGATGATAATACTTGGCGATGGTGAAAGGATCGCATATTTCTGCGTGTTTGCATAGTGAGTTATATAAATCTTTACTTTAATTCTAATAAAATCTTAAATAAGCTGTTGAAAGTTAAGTTTAGTTAATGGCCACGTACTTAGTATGCCAGTTACCTATTTTTTACCTATTATTCAAATTTCTTTAAAAATAACTCGTATTTATGATGTTTATAAGGTGTAGTATTGTGTATTTTCTTTTTAGCAGAATTAGTCGACTCTGATCAGAAACTGGCATAGGTGGTCAGTTACTAATCTCTTTTCTTTTTTTTACAGTTTATTGAAGTGTTAGTAAAATGTCTAAAAAACGACAATAAATAAGGCTCTGAAATTTATTGAGAATAAAAAGGGTTCAATCCGACAGGCGGCAAAACAATTTGGTGTGCCCAGAAGTAACCTCCAATTTAAAATTAAAAATTCTTACACAAACTTTAAGTCTAGACCAGATCCAGTGCTAACTTAAGCTGAAGAAAACAGTTTATGTGACTTCATCGTACAACTATCAAAGCGTAGCTTCCCAAGAAAGAAAGAGGATATTCAATTATGAGCCCAAAATCCGAGACCCAACCATTTCCGAGACAACAAACCGGGAGATGTATGATGTGTTAAGGTTTTCCTGAAAAGACATCCTAATATTTCTATTCGAACATCAGAAGGAGTTACCAATGCAAATGAATGTGTTTCTGAACAGGATATTAGGAGATGGTTTCAGGAAATACAGCAGTATATTGTCGAGGAAGAACTAAATGACGTCATTCAGGATCCCATAAGAGTGTTCAATGCTGCTGAAACTGGATTCAATATTTGCCCGAAAATAGGCAAAGTATTGGCTAAGGAAGAGAACAAAAATGTGTACCAGATAGAAAGAGGATTCTCTAAAGAAAACATTACAGTTTTATTGACGTTTCCTGCTGCTGGACACGTCTTTAGACCAATGATTATCTTTACCTGATCGAGTTTCGTTGAGTGTGTCATCTGGTTGGGGAGAGGGCGAAGCGACACAGTTTAGATGACTGCAACAGTTTTTTTATGATTATATCTCTAATTAACTGCACCTACAAGTTTTTGAAATCAATATCCCACTTCCTGTAATTCTGTTTGTCGATGGACACAAAATCCATATTAACCAAAATATTTTTTTAAACAAAATCGTTCTCATAGCAAGTGCCTCTTAAAATAAAATTGATTAAGTAATTTTCTATATAAATTTCTAGTATTATAGTCCGTTCGCGTTAAGAAAATAGTGAGTCATCGTTGTCCGCCGGCATGGTCACGCCTCCCAGCCAATTAAAATGCAAGAAATTAGAAAGTCGAGTCCACAGTGACCATTGAAGTCAGGGCATGGAATCTTAGTACAATAATCCTTAAAAAACGCTATTATTATCATATTAAATTTAGATGAACCAAAAGAACATGTAAAGTCTATCAAACGTACAGCTTTTCGATTTTGTCGTGATTATAATATACTAGTTCCAGCCGATGGCACAAGTTGTCGCCCCTGTAGATATATGAAGATAAAATTAGAACGCTATGTGATTTAAAGATTCGACAACATATTTGATAACATTTTTAAAATAATCGTATAATGATTTATGCTAAGATTAGCCGCTATTTGCTTTGCATTATCTCTACTCTACACATTTCACAATTTGTTGTGATTTGTTGGTTTCTCCGGTTGTGAATGTGCGTTCCGTGTGATAATTTCCGTGGAAGATCAAAGCCTTTTCGTTATTAGTGCTGTTGAGTTGAGTGGAAATTCCTCCAGTGTGACATATTATTGCGTTTTTGAGACAAAGACTCTTATATTCATAGTTTTGTTTTAGAGACAGAGACTCTTCAACATGTCTAGTAAAAACTGTTGTGTTCCCGGCTGCATGGACTCTGGAAGTGAGTATTATCCGTTACTTGATAAGATTTAAACTAAAAATATTCTTAAAAATCTCTTTCATCAGTGATGTGCCTTGTATGAACGGCTGTAGGCTTATATCCATTAAACACTTATGAAACGCGGAAGTCTTGTTATTTCTAAAAGCAATTTATTGTATATTTTAATTTTTAATGGAAAACCTTGATGGGACTCTTTGACCGACTGCAACATAGCCTAATAGTGTAGTTAGCGATAAGTGGGGAGTGTAATTCTGCCTTACCATTCGTCTATCCATCATACTCCTAAAACTCAATGTCAAAAAGGGCCATACGGCAAACCGTCTTGAAGTTGACCGTTTCACCGACAGATTATGACCAACAATTCAATAAAAACTACACCTATATTGCTCTAGCTTGCGCAGTATTAGTGTAATAAACAAGGATGGCATAATTATCATTGCACATGAAGTCTTTCTGTAAGACTTCAAGGCTTTTTTGTGGTTTGACCACCTACCTACTGTCTTTCAGTCTGCAATTCTCAATGGGACATGGGAGTAAATGAAGTGTAATGGTAAAATTTAGGAGTACTTTAATGAAATAAGTGGACTAGATAGACAAAATGAATGACAAAATGACTTTTTATTCATCATTCTCTCACAACTACAACAGCGCTGATATTGTTGGCTGATGCCTGGCCCACCGAATGTACCACACAAGCGTCATAACATGTGCACAGCAACCAACTGTTATTCTACCAACTAAACAATTACAGCATTACTCTATTATAGCTTTCCTTCCGGACACATTATTTTCAATTAATATATAAACATAATATACTTAATATGTTCAGTATATAAAATAAAACACAGAGTTTGAATATTGTTACGTATTAAGATTGGTAGCATGACAAAAGACAATATATGAAAGTGCGAGAAATGCTCGTCAATAAAATGGCAGAATCAACTTGGCGTTCGTAGTTAGCAGTATTTAATATTATATTTAATATATATATGTGTGTGTGTGTATGTATATATATGTATATATATATATGTTTAATTTTATCTATATATGTATATATGTATTGTACATACTTCTTATTACACCTACCTCTTTTATCTCTGCACTACTCTAAGGTAGACTGGTAGATAATGCCTCAGGCATTAAGTCCGCCTAAATACATCTAATGTGTATATGAAGTTAAATAAATAAATATGATAATAATTTTATGTAACATAAGTGAATATTAAATTATCTACATTCAATTTACTTTATTAGTAAACAAAGTACAAAACAAGTATTCCCAAATAGAATAACAATAAATCTTTAAATATGACAATACTTTTCTCGAAATTTGTCTGGATTTGATTTTGTCTCTTATAAACAAACTATTTCCACTTCTATCAAACGATACTCTGTTACATTAATGTTTTCTCTGCTTATTTCCATTTGATACCCTTTGTGAAACCTGACAAGTTCAATATAATAGGACCTTTAACTGTCGACTCTGGTATGTTCCTAGGGTAAATAATATAACTTCAATATGTTTTAGACTGGTGTATAAATATACCTTTATTTAAAATATAAAGGTATATTTCATAAATATGGCATATTGGGACGTCATTGTTTTGTTGTCTAGTACAATTTGGCCAACCTTCTCTAATGTAAAGTTTTTGTTCTCTTAGTTCAATACAATATAAATTAAACTCAATAGGAATACAAGTGGTAAAATAAAAAAATTTGCACTACCAACTTTAATATAAATAAAATGAGAACATCATCAATATAGCCAAAGTCAAAGAAATATGCATTATTATTAATGAAAACTCAAAAACTACTGGTCAAATCTTGATCAAATTTATATGGGACTACATGAAAAGCACTAGCTTACAAATAATAAAAGAATCGTCAAAATTGGTTCACCCAGAAAAAGTTCCGAACACATAAAAAATAAAACATTTGGTCGAATTAAGTACCATCTCCTTTTTGAAGTTTGTTAAAAAAATTGTGGTATTGGCATAACCCTATATGTGTTGTAAGAGGCAACTAAGAGAACGTGAGATAACCTCTCTTGTAAAGTACCTGACCAAAATAAAATTAAGCAGACTGATGATGGGCAGCAGCATCTAATTGAGAAGTGTCTGGGTACTGCTAGCACAAATTTGGGTGTGGCAGTTGTAGCAAATCCTCTTTTGGAGGCCTATATCCTACAGTGGACTATTTACACAGTGTTAAGGTACATAATTTAAGTAACAAAAGTAAAAACTAATGAAAGGACACTTTTTGTAAAAGTTCGGAGTGTTAGTAATATTTTTATTTTAATTATTGAATTTTCTTTTTCAATAATAAGAGGCTATGGTGTGTGAATAAATAATAATAATAATAAACATAGTTATTGTGAGAATGATATAGCAATATTATAAATTTATAAATTTTTCTTTAAATATTCATAATCTTTATTTCAGTCTCACACAAGACACTTCATTATTTTATGTACTTTAAATACAATAACTCAAATACAAACCTTATAACTTGTTCCAAAGATCCTACGTTTACGGACTGAAACATATTTCTATATTATATATTCCTATTTTTGATATACTTAAAATGAAACAGCCTTATTGACACTAATGTGCTTAATTTTTATGTACTATATATGTATATCTTTATGTATTTTAATTAATAACATGTTATTTCAGAGCCTATGACCAATATCCAGTTACATTCACATAAGGAAAATGAAGTGGTTCTTGCAAGAAAAGAGATTAAGCAATTAAGTAAAGGTAAAAGACCATTCCCCTAATGAGATATTAAATTAAAAAATATACAACTTAGTTCAATATAAGACAAGTACAAATGTAGACTGAGAGAAAATATAAGTGATTTGAATGAATGTTTGTCAATAAGTTACACTTGGAGAATGTGTGGCATAATGTTAAGAAAGGTTTAGTGGATGCAGCTACCGAAGTATGTGGTGTTAGTAAGAGAATGAATGAAAGGAAATACAATACATTATGGTGGGATGATGAGGTACGTATGGAAGTTGAAGCAAAGAAGAGAGCTCGGCTAGATTTACTAGCAACCAAAGCTGGTAATTCTGGCAGTATGAATGATGAGATTGGAAGAAAAAAGGCAGAGTTGAAACGCTTAGATATGAGAGTAAAATAATTAGTTGAAAGGAAAAAGCAAGAAGGAATAGATAAGAATATCAGATAACTTCCAGGCAAATATTAAAATGATCTGGAAACTCTTAAGAAATACCAGGGGACATTCAAAACTTATGTTTGCAAAATGCATGATGCCATGTGACCAGGATTAAGAAAGGAATGCTTCGGTTGTTTGGTCATGTAGAAAGAATGAATGAGGAGACTGACAAAACAAATATATATTGCAGAAGTGAATGGAAGAGTCGGAAAGGGACGCCCTAGGCGAAAGTTTGTCGTCCAAATTGGCGACATATTAAAAATGAGCCAAATTAAGCCCCTTAACCGACGAGCATGTTTGTGTAGATATATGGATGTAGAAGAGGCGAGAGAGGTATGTCAGGATCGTGCTAAATGGAAGTCTGTAGTCTCTGCCTACCCCTCCGGGTGACAGGCGTGAGTGTTTACGTTATGTTTTTTTTTTCAATATGACTATCTTTTAATAAGGTATCCATTATTGTAGAATTTTACATATGAAAATTTTAATTGTCTATTGTTCTAGAGTGCCGTACACCCTCACTTGCTGTCACTCAGAAAATTAGAGAAAACCATTGCAACTGCTCATGCTGAAAAGAAATTGTACTTGAATCTGGTACAGGTAAAAAATAAACTTGCAAAATGCCATACTAAGGTTAAGGAGCAGTCAGCAAGTCTTAAAGCAGCAAAAAAATATTGTAACAAAATGGCCCTGAAAGCCAATTTAAAATATAGTGAGAGACTAGACAAGGTTATTGGATTTGTAACTGACGGAAAGTTCACCAAGTCTGACATGGCGGATCACGTACAAGTGTTCATGATTCGGGGACTTCTTAAAAATTATAAAAAGGCTGTGTCTTACACTTTCTCTGCTGCTGCTATTTCAGTATCAGAAATAGCGACACATCTAAAGACGATCGTAAAAAAATTACAAGAAGCCGGTTTCACAGTGGTTGCAACAGTCTGTGACCAGGGTACTAATAATAGACAAGCAATCAAGTTCCTATTAAATGAAACACGAGGTGCCTTTTTAAGAGCAGGAAAAGAGCCCAAGGAGAATGATTGATAATCAAGAGATTATTCCTTTATATGATCCTCCACATCTTTTGAAGTGCATTAGAAATAACTTACTTACGAAGGATCTTCAATATGCTGTAAATGATAATAAAGCTCAGACAGCCAAATGGCAACATATTGAACTCCTTCATAAAGAAAATCCTGGCTACAAGACCATTAGACTAATACCTAAACTCACAGATAATCATGTTTTACCCATCTAGATCCCTATAATGAAGGTAAAATATGCAAGTCAAATTTTAGTCGTTACTGTGGCATCTAATATGGGATATCTTGCAGGTAAGAAATAGTTTATTATAATAATTTAATATTCTAATATATTTAATATTGCAATTTTATATTCCGTCTTCCACTCACTTATTCTGATTTGATAAGGGTAACAATGTGTTGGTCTAGGAATAGTATGATAAAAAAATTAGTTGCAGACTATAAATGTACCTTTTTTATAAGAGAAGGGTAAAAAACATGCACATAGTCTACCTGATGTTAAGTGGTTGCTGTGGCCCATAGACATCTACATCTATCCTCAATTACGAATCAAAATGCGAATGCGTTGTCACCCGTGATGATTAAGATAGAATGCCTCTATTGTAAAAAGGGTATCCAGTTCTCTACACTACACCATACAAACCATACAAAACACAGCAGCGTGGAGCTGCTATTTTACGGTGGTATTATGTGAGAGCGTGGTCCTTCCTAGGGCGTGCCGACCCATTCGTGCTACAACTATACTACTTCTATAGCTGCAGTATGGCTAATATCATGTCACTTTAGACTCAAATTCTGGTTGGTAGACATTTCTCAGACATACGGGCTAGGTAAATTTAGTACTGAAAATTGTAATTAAATGATTAAGGTTGCTGTTCATACTGTAACTTTTATAAAACATTAAATATAAAAATGTCTCATTATTTATCAAATTTCTGTTCTTTTATTCGGTTCAGCTTATGTCTTTTATGTATTTATGGCTAAAATAAATTATGTATTTAATCTATAAAAAAAATTGTGTAAATAAAACAGAGAACACATTGCCTCATTTTGTCCCGTGGCTGTCATAAGAGATGAAATATCAAAGAAACTTATGACTTCCGTTTAGTCGGCGATATTACCATCTCCTTTACGCCAGACGTAAAATATCCAAATCGACGACGGACAAGCTGCATTAAAGATGTTCACGTCTAAAACTACGATTACCCACCTGCCAAGCATGACAGTTTCAAGTCCAGCAGTACACTTTAATTGGCCTATTAAGTTTACGGTTGGATGAAAAGAAAAAATGTCACAAAACCTTGCTATGCTCTGATAATACTAGTGTTTACTAATAGATTAATTCTTTTTGTTTTTCAGAAAAAGGCATTCTTCCCAAAGAATGTGAGGAAACTGCTGAAGTACTCCTCTTCTTTGACAAAGTATTTGATTCCTCAATGGAAGTTATAGTAAAGAAAAAAAACAATATGGAAAGCCTCTTCTTGGACCAGCAAGACCAAACTCTGAACATCATAGGATGTGGAATGAAGCTAAAGCTATGTTAAATAATATGAAATTTATAAATAAAACGTCAAATAGTGCTGAAAATATACCAACAATCAAAAATTGGGTATGGACACTGAATGGTATACAAATTCTTTAAAAAAAAAATGGAAACTGAGTATGGTATTACTTCAGTTTGGATGCGGCACCTCAACCAAGACCCTATTGAAAACTTTTTCGGGGCCATTAGAAGCCATGGGTGCCACAATGTTAATCCAACACCAGAACAGTTTCAGAGTGCTTACACTACACTTTTAATTAACAATATGTCCAGTGTCCATGCCCCAGGTGCAAATTGTGAAAAAGACACTTGTAAGGCTTTAGAGTCTCTTATCATCACAGATAACTGCAAAGCTGCTACAGCCTGTGACCTTGAAACAATCCCGGATGTAGAAATAATAAATATTGAAGAGAAAAGTGCTCCACATATAAAGGGGGCACATCTGACAAAGTATCCACAAACATAATTTATGTTAGTGGATACTTTGCCAAGTGTGCTAAAAAAATGTTTTTAAAAACTGTAGCGAATGTACTACTTACATAATCGCCTTACAAGAAAATGAAGTGATTAAATTCCGGGAATATGCAGGTAAACGGTGGCTTTGCAGTCCCACTGAGTCACTTATAGTATGTGTATCTGCAGTGCAAGACAGCAAATTCAGTTTTAAAAAACTATTAAAATAAAGACAATAATAAAAACCTTGATATTAATTTATGTAGATTTTGAATTTCTGCAATGTAATTTACACAAAAATAAAATAATTGATTACTTACTAAATTTGTCTTGCCGCTTTTTCATATTCAATTATGTCAAAAATATAAATAAGATACTCAGTGGGAAAAGAGACTGTGATGATAATGATATATTTCAAATGAAAGCCAAAAAATATTTCCACAAGTGTAAAAAAAGACGTTTTATTCAATAAATGCATTTTTCTTTTTGAAATGTGTTTTTATTTTTACATCAGAATCTATAATACTTATTGTAAGAAATTGTACACATAAATAAATTTCTTACAATAAGTAAAACTAAAAAATATATAGAAACTGGTATATAGAAAACTATAGTAGCTATATATACTAGGTGTATAGTATAGCTATATGATAAAAAAGTTGTTTCATCTGACACCACCAGACGGCAGCACATTCTAGAATTCATTTTTATGCTTGAGATTCCTCTCTATTTCAGTATATTAGAAAGTACTCTGTGGTTGAAGTTAGGCCTTCGAACAAAACGGTTGTGTATTTTGCGTGTTACTCGTTCAACATTAAATTTTGAAAATGAATTGAAATTTAAATTTTGAAATTGAAATGAACACCTATTCGAAAGAATAAAAGTGGATCAATAATCCATAGCGGAGAGAGACGCGTAATTTACAATGTTTATAAGTACTTTAAACTGTGTGATTTAAATGCGACTGTGGAGAGCACAGTAATAAAAACAGCAAGTGCATGTGGTGTGTCCGAAAATACCGTTTATAAAACTATTAAAGAACAAAAGGATACTAACACATTAAAATCACCCGTGAAAAAAAGAGCTCGACTATCGACGGTCGATAAATTAGATGAACTAGACAAATGTGCAATAAGGAGAAAAGTTCACTAAATATATTTAAATAACGACTACCCGACATTGGACAAAATTATGACACTGCGAAGCTGACGAAGATATTCAAACGTACGTTTAACGTATTGTTTTCAAACGTACCCCACTTCATACAATAATGCACGAGTTTGGTTTCGATTTCAATAAACAGGATAGCAGAACATTGTTAGTCGAAAGAGAAGATATTGTTTTATGGAGGCGTAAATATCTGAGACAAATAAAAGAATACAGAGCCGCTAATAAAACCATTTACTATCTTGACGAAACGTGGGTAAACGCCGGACACGTAAAGACAAAAGCATGGTTGGGTACAACGGTAAAAAATAAAAGACAAGCCTTTCTGACATAAAAAAATTATTAGATGACGCAATAGCATTAATAGACGCTAATCGTTGGAAGAAGTACTGCGACCACGTGATACGCGAAGAAAATACCATGTGGAATTTGAATGACATCATGAATTTGCAGAACAAAATTCTTTCATAATTAATGTAACTGGAGAATCTAGCGATACTGATTTAAGTAACTTTAAGAAAATTTGTTTCCATTAAACTTAATTAATTTTTGAAAAAAAAAAAGAATCTTTACTCCACTGTGAATACACCTTTACCCTGTAGTTGCACTGATGACTCACTATTTTCTTAACGTGAACGGACTATAGTAATAATTGGATTATGAGCACCAGCAAGCTTTATTGCAAGGATGTCCAAATATAGGTGGAGCACCCAGTGCAAATATGGCCACAATAACCTCAGACTGGCGGATACGAAAAAAAAATCAGAACTATGCCGCCGCCATCTTCAAATACATCTAATAGCGCCTTATCTAATACTCTACAGAGTGTGAAGATAGATTTGACTGGCAAAATACGCAAAAATAAGTATCAGAACTATGCCGCCGTCTTCAAATACATCTAATAGCGCCTTATCTAAACGCAACTCATACACTACAACCAGCAGATGTTGCAGCTTTTCGCCCAATAAAGGTTGCTTGGAAGACGGTACTGCGCGATTGATACGAGTACGCTGCGAATAGTTACCACAAGAGTCTGACCAAAGAAACCTTTGCTCCACTGTTAAAAACATCCTTTGTTGCATTATCAATTAATAATTTAAGCGGCCAGCATTCACCTGGCTCCAACTGTGAGGAAGATAGTTGTCAGACTATTTTTAAATCAGTGGAAGCTTTATTCGAAAATTCAGAAAGTGAGCCCATCCACACAGATATGATTGAAGTAGACGAGACAATATAATTACAAAGAAAAAAAATAACCCCAGAATTTTGGCAAGTTTGCAGTATGTGACTGGCTATTTATTAAAAAAAAAGCCAAAATCAAAATATTCAAAAATTGTGCAAAATGTAAACAATGTTTTTTATATGACAAAAATAATGAGTGATTTTTTTTTAAATTGAGAGAATATAAAAATGGAAAAACATATTTATCACATACCCAAATAATAATTTTGTTATTGTTTTTTCTAAAATGCAAGATTTAATTACATATATAATAAAAAATCGATTTATGAGTCCATATATCAAAACATACTTCAAAACTTATTTGTAATCCGAGCTTGATTGCGAGGTCCACAAATCCCAAAAGATCGATTTTATATTTGAACTATCCCGCAATTTTTTCTTATTTAACTGGTGCAGAGATGTAAACAAAATAATTAGCGGTACCAGATAGGAATTGGATGATACTGATGCGAGAAAATGTCTGCATATAACTATTATAATAAAAGGAAGCATTATAAAAAAACATTCAACCGCTAAACAGTTGTTTTATTTGCCTAAATTATATTGTCTACAAAGTAATTTCCAAAAGCCAAATCAATACTAAAATGTTTTAACTTTTGGAAATTCTGCTTCGCTGGGTTGTAGTGATCTCGTATATCAATAGATGGCGCTAATGCTACGATTCTAAGTGATCACTCTACTCATTGTACAGTGTTGCCAAACATAAATATTTATCTGTATTTACGCAGAGTTTTTGACTAGTATTAACACTAGAGTACACGCGCGGCCTACTATGGTAGACCACGGTTATTCTTTTTGCAAGAACTTTTTAGTTTAGCGCGCTAGAAACTAGCGATTCCAGGTAAGCCTCGTCTGTTGTATTTGCCACAACCTCAGTACCCCGCGGGACCCTAGCGCGGACGCACGCATTGGTAATTTGGCGCCTAAAGTGAAGGACTACCATAGTAGTCCGCGCGTGTATTGGTGCACCAAATTCAGGTATGTAACTTTTGATGTAGTATTGACTTACAGCGCGGTTTTCTTACTATCAATTGTCTGTTTATATGTATTTAAATGCTAATATTATTAATTAATAATATACTCATTACAAGTTGTAAAAAGTGTATCTCTTTTTTCTAATTTATGTAATTTTTCAGATCTATTTCCGAATACGTCATGGAGGATTCACAAATACAAAGGTGGTTGCATGAGTTAGAAACTGATGATGATGAAGTGATTGAGAGCGAAGATGACGAAGTTCAGACAGAACCAGACCTACAGGCCCTAGTTCACGAGTCAGAACTCCGCGAAAGTGAAGACACAAGACTAAGTGCATCTGACGAAACATCAGATTCAGATGACTACCCACTCTCGCAACTAGCAACCAGAAGGCGAGGTTCAGTCTATAAATCAACGAATGGAACTATATGGCAAAAAGATGTTCCACCAGCAACGCGTATTCGACCGCATAACATTAGGATAAGACCACCAGGCCCAAAAGGAGACGCTGCTAGGAATGCGAAGTATCCGGTATCGTGTTTTGAACTATTTTTCACGCAAGATATCTTGGAAATCTTGGTAAGGTGCACCAATATTTACATATATAAAATAAAAGTCGATTTCCAAAGAAACAGGGATGCTAAGCCCACTGATATAGTAGAAATGAGAGCATTTCTGGGCATATTATACGTCATGGGAGTATCACGAAATGGACGTCGCAACATAAAAGATATTTGGGATAACTCTCAGGGTACTGGTTTGGAAATTGTATATACCACCATGGGAATAAATAGATTCCGGTTTTTGATACGTGCCCTAAGATACGACGACATTACCGACCGAGAACAGCGTCGAGAACTTTACAAAATGGCACCAATTCGACAAGTTGTGGAGTTAGTCACTAACAATTGTCACAAAAACTATGCTCCCAGTGATTATTTGACGCTAGACGAACAACTTGTTGGCTTTAGAGGGCGTTGCGGCTTTATAATGTATATACCGAATAAACCGGACAAATTCGGAATTAAGATTTTCATGGTGGTCGACACGAAATTTCCATATGTCTTCAATTTTGAGATATATGTTGGAGCGCAACCGGAAGGTCCATTTCAAAAGTCCAACAAGGTAAACGACGTTGTTCATAGAGTGCTTGATCCGCTTTATGATTTAGGCTGTAATGTAACAATTGACAATTACTTTACAAATCTTCCTCTGGCTAAAGAGCTATTGCAGAAGAAAATCACGATTTGGTACTATGAAAGCTAATAGACCCGAAATTCAAAAGTTCCTTTTTGGGTTTCAAAAAAGATGTTACCCTTGTGTCCTATGTACCAAAAACAAATAAGGCAGTCAATTTATTGCCTACAATGCATTATGATGCTGCTATAGATTCTTATACCAAAGAAGACCGCAAGCCAGAGATTGTAACTTTTTATAATCGTACTAAATGTGGTGTAGACATTTTGGACAAGATGTGTAAGCAGTATAGTGTTCTGCGTAACAGTCGTCGATGGCCACTAACCATATTTTTTGATATGATGAACATTGTTGGAATCAACACTCTGATAATCAACCAAATGAACGGTTCTAGAAGTCAAATTGTCAGGCGAAACTTTTTGTACGAATTGTCATTCAATTTGATAAAACCGCTTTTTGTTTCGCCGGGCATTCATCGAAACTCTTCCGCGACAACTTAAATTTAGGATAGAAGCACTTTTGGCCAACACAGTTCAAGAATCCCAAGAGTCTCAACACGATTTGACTCCAAAGATAGATCGAGTTGGTCGATGTGCACTCTGCTCAAGGGCCCGAAATAAGTCCACAAAAAAGTGGTGTAAGACTTGCAACAAATGGATTTGTCCTGAACACCAAGCAGTAGTGTGTCCTGATTGCTACGAAAACAAACAAAAACGGTTGTTCTCGATCATTCAAAAGAAAAAAAACGAAAATTCTTTACAAAAAAATCCAGTAAGTAGATTATGGTTTTTGTTTTGCGTAAAGAGACTATCCGAGCGCTATTTTATACAATTTTCTATTTAAATCTAGTAATATCTACGTAAAATTGTTTGAAAGACAAAGTGGGAAAATAATTCCCCTTGCCCAATAACCGTAACATAATTTCCGACTTCAAAAAAAGGAGATTATCAGTTTGATTCGTATATATGTAATTTTATTCTTTCAATCAAGGTATGATGTTTGTCAAAATTTCATAAAAGTGTGTTATTTTTTTTATTAACTGCTACCTATTCTTTTGAAGTCGATGTTGAATTACTTATTGTTACTCAACTTTGAGAATGTATGTACGTATCTTAGATATATGATAAGTCTTCGCCTTGCTATGAAGTGAAGACCAATGATTTATCTAAGGCACGTATGTATCAAAAATAAAATTTTCATTCTGTAAGGCATTTTATGTGATTTTTCTGTATCATTTCATTTATTTATAGGTAGAATCTGAAAATAATGAGTAAGAAAACTAAGAAAATTATAAGCACCCGGCAATTAGAGGCCATAGTAGACAATATGTCAGATTTATCTGATCTTGACTCAGATGACGACGCGTATTATCAGACGGCACCTGCAGTCCAGCAGATGATCTAAATCTTCCTGAAGATGCCATTATTGAAAGTCAACTTGAAAAAATGTTTGGTGATTCTGCAATCGTAAACTAAACAATTGATGATCAAGAAAGTTATTCAGTGAGTTCCTCGATGAATATTTTAGATACAGAACAATTCCACGAATACAGGTTACAAATGAATATATATCACAGGAAAAATCTGGCGATCCACCAATACAGGTTACAAATGAATATATGGAGAGACACAGGAAAAATCTGGCGATCCACCAATACAGGTTACAAATGAATATATGGAGAGACACAGGAAAAATCTGGCGATCCACCAATACGGGTTACTAATGAACACATGGAGACACAGGAAGAATAGAGACAAGAAGCATATGTTAGCGAAAGAGACATTGAAATCCAAGAATGTTTAGATGAGATTTGTGGAGAATCTCCAATTAATTCTATTCCAAGACACGCTGCAAATCCGGAACTATCAATAGGTAATGATACTGTGACTCATAATCAGGGCCACTTAGGACCAAACAGAAGCAGAATTATTAATGCAGCAATATCAAGAACCCCACGAAAGTGGGAAATAGATAAAGAAATACATAATGTATCAGAATTCACAAATCCAATCGCACCAGCATGCGTTTTTAATCATAAAACACGCCCTATCGATGTCTTTGAAATTCTTTTTCCGGACTACTTAGTAGAAATTCTAGTATATCAGACCAATACATATGCAAGACAGAAAATCAATATACACCAGTTTCCGGAGAAGAAATTAAGGTTTATCTTGGTATATTAATTATGATGGGCCTAAACTCGTTGCCTGATATGGAATTATATTGGTCTAATGACCCATTCTACAACAATAAAGAGATTTCGCAAGTCATGACCATTAAAAGATTTAAGAAAATCACTGAAAATCTCCATATAAATAATAACGAAGAGGAGCCAAGAAGAGACTCGCCTAATTACGATAAACTTTTCAAGTTGAGGCCGATGATAACTGAACTTAATAAAAAAAATTCAGAAGAGATGTATAATTCGAGCCAGCAATCAATCGATGAATGCATGGTCAAATTTAAAGGCCGATCAAGCCATAAGCAGTATATTATGCCAAAGAAACCAATTAAACATGGGTTTAAGGTTTGGGCACGTTGTGACGCAAAAACGGGCTACCTTTATAAATTTGAAGTGTACACCGGTAAAGGTGACAGCATAGAAGAAGAAGGTCTGGGATATAATATCGTGAATAAACTCTCGCTTGACTTGCCTGAAAATACGCTTCTAGCATTTGATAATTTTTTTACGGGCTGTAATATATTAGAAGCGCTGTATAACAGAAAAAATTTTTGCTATAGGGACTGTAAGACCTAATAGAAAAGATCTTCCAGACATTTTAAAGAAACAGCAACCAAAAAATTTGAGACTTGCAAAGAATGAGTTTGCGGCTTTAACTGCAAAGCCCATTACCGCTATTAAGTGGCTCGATACCAGAGACGTGACCCTTCTAACAACAGCACACCATCCTACTGATACCGTCTTTGTAAAAAGGACACAAAAAGATGGCTCAAAAAACATGTTCTCTGTCCCAAGGCAATTGCAGATTACACTCTTACCATGGGTGGCGTAGATCGCTTCGATCATTTTAGATCATCATATCCTATTAATCGGAAATGTAGAAAATTTTGGATGCGATTATTCTTTTTCATGTATGATGCGGCGATTAAATAACAAGAGCTCACAGAAAATTCAGACTGAGACTTGCTCGTGAGCTCATTTCAAACTTTTCATCCAAAAAAATCGCCCAGTTGTATTCAAAAACAAGAAGGGCTCCAACTTCGGGGTACCCGATGAGATCCGTCTTCTCAATGTTGGTGTTCATCTCCCAGATGAAGGTAGCACTTACAAAAGGTGTCGATTCTGTAGCACCAGGAATAAAGAAAAACGAACAAAAATCGTATGTTCCACCTATTCACGCAAAGAAATGCTTCAAATTGTTTCATGAAACTTTACCGCAGGAATAATTAGAAATTTCTTTTACTTGTATAAACTTTTGATAAACAATGATGGCATATACTTGCATTTTTATTTTGATATTTTGGTCAAATGTTACAAAAATTTATTAAAAAATAAATTTCTTAAGAGGCGAAACCCGGGTGAAGTGCTAGTGTTTGTATAACAACCAAACCATGGTAAAATTGTGTAGCCAAAACAGGCAAGGGGAATTATTTTCCCACTTAAAAAGTGAGTGAGACTGAGTGCACAAGCATAATCGGGCAAAGGGAAATAATTTCCCACGTAAAAAAAAAACATATTTCCCCCACCCCCCACAACTCTCGCATATATTTTTTGGCATCTATGGCATCAACTCACACTAAATCGTTTGTCGGATTTAAATTATCTTTCAAGCGAGATCGCGCTTTATTAAGGGTTAAAATGGCCTACTATAGTAGGCCACGCGTGCACACAAAAGAGGCGCGTGTACTGTAGTGTTAAAAATGAAAGATTTTATCTTACCTTTACTTACTTTTATACGGATTATTTTAGAATCGGGTAAAAGACAAACAAATATTTTTTTAGATTCGCATTTGATAATATTATTAATAGTACCCGGATGACCGAGCTCTGCTCGTTTTTTTTTTTTGAAATTACATTTATAAATTACATACTGATGAAACATAAATAATATTTTTTGATCTTATTGACAGAATAGAAAAAAACTGAACTGGTTATTTGAATGAAAAATCATGAGTGCAATTAGTTTTATTAAAATTTTCGTATTTTTAAAAAATACTAAAAAAAGGGGCTTGAAATAATAGATTTTCTCACAAAAGAAGGGAACTTGAAAAAAAAAATACGTGTGGCACTCGGTGACTGCCGCGGTAAAGCTATTGCATAGCATTTTTTAACAACTTATGCTATTATAATTATTTATTTATTTTATTTATGCAGTTAAGTCTTTGATATTAAATCAAGTTACACTTTTTGAGCGTGGTGACCGATAAGAAAACAATTTTTTTTTCTCTTATTGAATAAATGAGAAGTTAATATTGTTTAAAATATTTTAATATCTTACAATACATGTAGGTTATTCAGGAATTTTATCATTGAGTTAGCAGCTAGTGTACACGCATACGTCTAGTCGCACGCACACAAACACCGTGCCGAAGTCTGCCGAGTGCCGAAGTCTGCCGAACTGAAACGAAGTTAGACGATGCACGGCTTTCAACGCCACACCTCCGTGCCCGTCGGAGTGGGGAGCGTGAGGTTTTTTTTCGTTACGGAATTTCTGGATTCGGTCCCCGCACTCAAGGCCCGCGATAGAAGCTATGCAATAGCTTAAAAGGAAAAAAGCCGGACCAGAGACAGGACACGAACCACGGAACTCAGATATCGCGCCCGACCGACATCCCACTTGAGCTATTACGTTCGTTAGTGATCTGTCAAAATTTACCTTCTTATATTGTAGCAGTTTTTTTTATTGCCTGAAAACACGGACAAAGGGACATTTTCTAAAAATAAATCTTAGCTAGATCGATTTATTCTGGACACTAAATTTTATGAAAATCGTTTGAGCCGTTTCCGAGATTCCGATTATATATATACAAGAATTGCTCGTTTAAAGTTATAGGATAGTAGAGTACTTGATGGGTTTGTCGTGGCAACATCACGTAATATACAACGGAGATATATTATCATCTTTGAACGGGGATTTCCCGTCAAAGTTTACATGTGAATGAACAATATCCGACCAAATTAAGTACAGTGGATTTCATTAATAACGACCTCGGTTGTAACGACTTTTGGTTATAGCGACGTCAAACTTACGTCCCTTGAATTTAAAGCATACTTTCATAAGAAATTCATTCGGTAATAGCGACTTCGTTATAGCGATAATTTCGGATATAGCGACTTGTTTTTATGAACTATTTATGACCGATTCCTAGAAATCACTTGCGGATATTGCGACTGACTCGGCAAAGGCACAAAGACTCATTCATAAAACTATTAAGCTTTCTTATCCTTTGTTTTTTCTTCAAACACAAGAAAGAGAGGATGAAGAACAGGAAGAAGATTGCAATCTAAATAAGATTCCAACAACTAGAGATGCATTATGTGTTATAACAACGCTCAAAAAGTACTGTTTATTTGGTGAAGGCCAAAATAATTTAGATGTTGAAGGAATTATGAAAATGGAATAAACCTTACAGCGTGCACAAAAAACTAAACTTAAATAGTGCACTATAACACGTTTTTTCAATTACGCCCGTGTATAACATAATTAAATAAATGATAAGTAAATATGTAATTTCGGATATAGAGACCTCCGGATATAGCGACGACATTAAAGTGGTCCCTCCGCCGTCGTTATAACCGAAATTCACTGTAGTTGAATTGTGCGGAAGAAACTCTTTACATTTTAATCGTCTGCTTTGTTCGGTCGGGTTACAAATTCTTACGTATTTTTATATTTTATTAATTTGTTGTAGTTACTGTTGCTCAGCTGTGATTATTGTGATTATATCGACCAGTAAGTGAAACTTATTCTGTTATGTTGGCTAAAAAGCCGCGGATACCACAACGATTTAATCAGTGTTGGCTGAAGAGGATTAAAGTCAAAAAGGAGAAGAATATGCATACTCTAAGTTTTGTTTATCAGATCTAGCTATTAGAGGTGGTGGTAAAAACGACCTAGTGCGGCATATGAAGACAGCTAAACACCAAGCCTCAATGTCAATGCCTAGCACCTCGTGTGCCCAAAGGCCTGTCACAGATTTTTAAAGATTATTTAAGTATTAATACTTCCTTAATTTATTTCGTATTTTTTTTACAAACTCAACAATTAAGCACGTATTTTAAAATATATATTTTCAAAAAATCTAGAAAGATAAAAATACCCAAATGAGTGAATTTGAAAGATAAGTGATATTGTTTCCGATAAAAAAATATAAAAAAACAGATAGGTCTCTTCTGAGTATCTTCAATTCAAATAGTGTGCATATTTCTTGTTTCAGAGAAGGGTAAATTAACTGTTATTATTAGTTGAATTTAATTGAATTACGGTGTAACGAGGTGGTATATACGTACGTATATAATTGTTTCTAGATTTCCATTAAATGACCTAAGGCGCATCCGATGGGTGGACATTGTGCGTAAACATAGAAAAGAAGAAAGCTGGCAGCCAAACAGTGCAAGTAAAATATGTTCAAACCATTTTAATGATGAGGATAAATATACTTCTGGCAGAGGGTTAACCTTATTGAAAAAGTCAGCTTTTCCTGTTCTGGAGGTATTTTTTTTTCTTCCCTTTAACATTCCAAATCTCAAAGGGATTACTTATATGTGCTTATTTATTTAATGCATTCGTCATTTAAAATATGTTACTGGTACTAAAAGCTTCGCAATCCACTCCCGCTAATCCAAGCAGTCTTGCTGAAGAAAATCGGTTTTGGACGTCCCTCATAAAGCAGCTCTTAAAAAATATGTGCTTATTTATTTTATACATTCATCATTTAACCCTTCAATATGCATATGGTCGGATCCGACCAAGACGATATTCCGTCAAATTCCAAGCGGTCGGATCCGACCACACCCACCCACATCACTTTAAACCATAAAAACTTATATTTAGAGACTACTTGTCTATGAAGAAGTTTGGTATTATAGGCTCCATGTGAAATTTTATATACTCTAATGCAATAAAAACTCAGTCTATGGTATTTAATTATAATCTACGTTCATTTCGTACGCCGGTTAGGTGTGGCGTGTCGTTGTGTTGATTTTTAGATTTTTCTAGCGTGTTATGTGTGTTATTATAAAATTGTTATAATAGTTTTTGTGTGAATATAATTTATTTTTACGTAAATAATTTCGAGTAATATATAGAAATAATTGTGATATTCACGCTAATGAACTGCGCTGGGTATTTACATTTTTTACTATGAAAATACAATTAAAATCTATTTGTAATGAAGTAAAAGCACTAAAACAAGTAATATAAGATAATAAATAAACAGAAACAAGTATTATATTAAAATTTATAATGAGTTTTATTGAAAATAAACGTACGACAAATTCAATGTTAGGTTATTTTTAGCGACGCCGCGACACGCAAAGCGCGCGAGCGGTGTCAAACATTTTAGCTGGGGATTGAGGGGTTAAAATATGTTACTGGTATTAAAAGCAGTCTTGCTGACGAAAAGGTGTCTGATTTGGAGTCGATTTTGGACGCCCTTCATAAAGCAGCTCTTAAAAATGTGTTAGAAAAAAGACATCTTTAAAAATGTTTTGAAAAAGAAAAGTTCATGAATAAAAATAGAAATTTAAAAAATAAAATAGAAGATTGCAGAAAAAATATCGCCAACATGAGTACT